TTATTATTATTATTATTGCATTTCCTTATTTTTTAATTTTATTTTTTGGTCTTTTTGCGACAGGTTCTCCCTGTAGCCCCAGCTAACCTGGAACTCACTATGTAGACCAGGTTGGCCTTGAACTCATAGAGCTCAGCCTGCCTCTGCCTCCCGAGTACTGAGATCAAAGGTGTGCGCCACCACACCTGGCTCCTTCACATATATTTTTATGTATGTGTATTTCTATAGAATGAAATTCTTAGAGGTGACATTAGTGTTTCAAGGGAAAATATGTTTGAGCTGAGTAGGTGGTGCATACCTGTAGTTTTGGCTACTCAGAAAGCTGTGATGGAAGGATTACTTGCACCCATGAGTTTGAGGCCAATTTGGACAATATAGCAAGGCCCTGTATTTTTTTCTTTAATTTTAAGTTTATTAGTTCTTACTAAATTATCTTCCCAACAGTTCTTTTTATATTTCCACTAACCAAATATGAGCTTATTTTTCCATACACTTGCCAGTAATTTTTTTTCAGTCTTATAGTCAATACAGTGAGCAAAAAACCCAGAATTCATTATTTTATGTTATACTTCCCTGATTGCTGGTAAAGTCAAACATCTTTTTTAAAAGTTTTTTTTGAGTCGGGCGTGGTGGTGCACGCTTTTAATCCCAGCACTTGGGAGACAGAGGCAGGCGGATCTCTGTGAGTTCAAGGCCAGCCTGGTCTACATAGTGAGTTCCAGGCCAGCTGGGGCTATAGGAAGACCCTGTCTCAAAAAGACCAAAAAAAAAAAATTTTTTTTTTTTAATTTTAAGCCAGGTGTGGTAGCGCAAGCCTTTAGTCCCAGCACACTGGCTTCTGTGTTGCTTTGTCTTGCCTATTCTCAAAGGTGTGGGGTAGATGCTTATCACAATCTATGAGGGTGTCAGCAGTCAGAGAAAAATCTAAGGAATCTTCCTTGCTAACATGCTTGGGTTAAAAAGCTGAGAAATACATCTTTGCATCAAAACTCTAGAAGTTTCTCTCTGCTGGACTGCAGTAGCAGCAAGCGAGCAGAGGTAGACACGCAGCAACTTAACATCCTGTCACCCCAGTGTCTCCTAATCAGGAAGCAGGTGACCTGACCATAGCTGGGGGATCCTTCTGAGTCTGTGGTTAATTGGGTTCTTTGTAAGTCTCTTAGTTTTCCCTCCTCGAGTGCTGTTAACTGCTGTTTCCCAATGCCCCGAAGTACCCTCTATACTGAGAAAGAAGAAACGGGCAGAGAAGCCTCGGCACTCAGCCTCTCATGTTTCCCTACCAGGTGAGGGTTGTAAATGAGGAGCTCTACCGGAAGACTCTGGAGGAAATTGTTCGCTCCCTGGATAAGATGGAGAATGCCAACATTCCTTCTGTGTCACTTTCCAAGCGAGAGGTAGGAAAGATATGTTAAGAATATTAGCACCATGTTGGTCATGGTAATGCATCTCTTTAATCCCAGCATCTCTCTGAGATCAAGGCTAACCTGGTCTACATAGCAAGTTTCAGGCCAGCTGTCTCAAAAAAAAAAGAGAGAGAAAAAAGAAAAAGAGAGTATTAGCATCAGGGGTTGAGGAGATAGCTCAGTTAGTAGGGCCTGAGTTCAATCTCAGAATTCATGTGAAAAAAAAAAGCTGTGCATTGTGCTGGGCATGGTTGCACGTGTCTTTAATCCCAGCACTTGGGAGGCAGAGGCAAGTAGATCTCTGTGAGTTCCAGGGCATCTTGGTCTATAGCTCTCTCTCTCTCTCTCTCTCTCTCCCTCTCTCTCTCTCTCTCATAATGTTACAAATGTCAGGGTGGGTTGTATGATAATCTGAAAAGTTTGGCTTAAGTACAAACCGGGGCTGGAGAGATGGCTCAGTGGTTAAAAACATTGGCTGTTCTTGCAGAAAACCCGGGTTTGAATCCCAGAACCCACATGGCAGCTAACAACTGTCTGTAAGTCCAGTTCCAGGGGATCCGACAGCCTCTTCTGTCGTTCTCAGGCATTGCACGACATGGGTACACTTAGCCTACATGCAGGCAATACATGCATACACACAAAATAAAAATAATAAAATATTAAAGAAGAATAGAAAAACCATGGGCCAAAAATAAAATAAAAAGTGATGGTCAATAAAGTAGTCCAGTGAGCTTTAGGCTTTTCAGAAGCAGGCCATGGCACAGATCGTTCAAAGCTGATAATACCACATAGTCAATCAAATGGGGGCCATGGGAAGGTACTTGAGACAGGATCTTCCTGTAGCCCCAGCTGGCTTGGGACTCACTATATAGACAGGCTGGTCTTGAGCTCACAGAGATCCTCCTGCCTCCGCCGGAACTAAAGGCGTGAGCCACCACGCCTGGCTGGGAACGTACTTTTTAATGCAACAGTTGTCTAGCAGGAGAAACCAAGAGTTATGAGGAATAGCTCCCTGTCATTTTGATTGGGGTGGAGGTGGGGTGAGCTTGATCTTCATGTTAAGGGGTAGAATTTGAGAATGATATTTTGGAAGTGATTTTTGGGTACAGAAAGATGTAAAGTATGATTGCTTCAGAAAATTTACTTATAAAACCAAGTTGAGCTTTGGGTCCTAGAGATGACTGGTCTGTAGTGGCAACTAATATATATATTTCAAAGATATGGTCCTTCATTTTCTTCCCAGTTGGGGGGGTGGGCAGGTGGCCTGGGAGAGAGAGAGCACTGCTTCTGATGAGTCCTTTGCTTGTTCCCAGTTCTGTTTTGAGAACGTGAGGTATATGCAGCTTCAAGTCGAGTCCTTTACAATTCATAATGGACAAGTACCCTGTCAGTTTGAATTTATCAACAAGCCTGATGAAGTGTCTTACTGCAAGCAGTGGCTGAGTGCCAACCCCAGCAGAGGGTTCCTCCTGCCAGGTAACCTGTCTCCTCCCAGACTCTGGTTTCTGGTATGGGGAATGCCCTACCCTGTCTTTTTCATTTTCCTAAATAAGCTTTTTGTTTCACAGTGTTTTGTTCTCTGAAACTTTTTTAAAGCTCCATAGCTGAATTTATCCATAAACAGAATATAAACTAGTGAGGGGCCTATGCTCAGTTTCATAAGCATTTTCAGTTACTTGTATGTTCCATAATTTCACAGGAAGGGAAGATGTACAATCACTGTAAAGCAGGTGCTGCTGTTAAAGGAGCCATTTTCACTGTCTTATTACAGTCAGCTTCCAGTTATTCACGCTTCTGGTGAGAGATAATGGGTGGTAATCCAGAAATTGTGTCTGACTCTGGAGTGTGCCATCCACACCTTCCTCGACTTTTCCTTTGTACTCTGTGAAGGATTATGTTTTTTGGATATCACAGGTGATATCTGCGTTATATCTCCACTGGGGTCGGGCATTTCCTCTTATCTGGCTTAGGGAAGGTTCTTTGATCCATGTCTTCATATTGATTAGTTCTCCTGGCTTGAACTATGCTCCTCAGTATTTGAGGTTTTTAGCATTTTTATGTTCAGAAGATTTTATGGGTTGTGTTCATGATTCCCATTGGCCTGTGCATATCTCGTGTTTCCTGAACATAAACACTGATTGATCCTTTTGCTTCCTTTCCTAACCCGTATGCCTCACTCTCCCCTCCTGTCTTTTCTTCTTTTCTCCTGTCTGTTCCCTAGCCAACATTACTTTTTATATTTTTCTGCAGATTCTGACATTGAGATTGATTTGGAACTCTTTGTAAATAAGGCCACAGCCACAAAACTCAACTCAGGTGAAGACAAAATTGAAGACATCCTGGTTTTGCACTTGGACCGGGGAAAGGATTACTTTTTATCTGTGTCTGGGAATTACCTGCCTAGTTGTTTTGGGTCTCCCATTCATACACTATGCTACATGAGGGAGCCAATCTTGGATCTACCACTGGAAACTATTAGTGAGCTGGTGAGTAACATGCCCCAAGGAAACATCTAGTACTGAACAGCAGCTGGCAGTCAAACATTGTGTTCCTATACCTGCCTTCCCAGGGACTTAGTATTCTTCAACCTCCTGGAGCTTGCTTAGTACATCAGTACAACAAGCCATCCCCCAATTAAAATGACAGGGAGCTGTTCCTCATAACTCTTGGTTTCTCCTGCTGATCTAGCCTACACTCACTTCTGCCACTGTAATCAGGCAGCATTTGTGATGGCCACAGTGTTGAAGGTAGCCTCCCTCACCTGCCTCAGTGTTGGCTGCTTTCTGACCTGATCTGACCTTTCGGATCTCAGCTTTTGGAGATGAACTCAAGCTCCTTCAAGTGGAAGGAAGAACACAGAATAGAAGCAAAGGCCTTATATGACTTAGACCTCAAAACTCAATACTGCTGCCATGCTGTATGATTCAGAGCAAGATTCCAGGCCAGATTCCTGTATGGAGAAAGACTCCACCTCTTGATAGGGAAAGCTGCTAAAGATGGTCACATTTCCATCTTTCCCATGCAGTGCATGCATTAGCACATCAGGCTACTATAACAAAATTCCATAGGCTGATGGTTTATGAAGAACAGAAGTTTCTTTTTCACAGTGTTGGAGGCTGAGAAGTCTGAGATAAAGACACCTAAAGATTTACAATCTGATGAGGTTTTACCTACTTCATCTGTAGATGGGCATCTTCTCTGTCTTCACATAGCAGGACTAAGGGACTCTCTGGGTTCTCTTACAGGGCACTGTCCTGTTCATGACTACTTAGTGCTTCATGGCCAACCACTTCCCAAAGTCCTCAGTTCCATATACTATCATTTTGGTGATTAAGAGTCAACATAAGAAGGGTTGGCTCAGTGGTTAAGAGCACTGACTGCTCTTGCAGGGGATCTGGGTTCGATTCCCAGCATCCACATGGTGGCTAACAACCGTCCATATCTATAGTTCCAGGGTAATCTGACACCTTCTTCTGACCTCTGCAGGCATTGCAGAACGTGGGTACACTTTCACACATGCAGACAATACATTCATACACATAAGATAACATGCCAGGCATGGTGGCACAGGCCTTTAATCCCAGCATTTGGGAGGCAGAGATGGTTGGATATCTGTGATTTTGAGGCCAGCCTGGTCTACATAGTCAGTTCTAGGCTAGCTGGAGCTACAGGGAAACCCTGTCTCAAAAAGACAAAAAATATAAAAAAATAAAAGTAAGCCAGGCGTGGTGGTATACTTCTTTAATCCCAGCATTTGGGAGGCAGAGGCAGGCGGATCTCTGTGAGTTCAAGGCCAACCTGGTCTACATAAGGAGTTCCAGGTTAGCTGGGGTTACAGGAAGATCCTGTCTCAAAAAAGACCCCCCGCAAAATAATAAATAAATAAATAATGAAAATTTTAAAAAAAGATTCAGTTTAGGAATCTGGAGATAGGGAGGGTGGATGGCATAAACATTCAGTTTATAGCAGTGCATTAGAGAATTTTGTTTTGAACCCAAGTTCATAGTGAAAGTTCTCTGAGCCATGATTTTATTCATTGTTGAAATAGCTCAGTTGATAAAGTACGTGCCATGTAGTCATGAGGACCTGAGTTTGGATCCCCAGCACCCATGTAAAAAGCACGTGTTGCCGGGCATGGTGGTGCATGCCTTTAATCCCAGAACTTGGGAGGCAGAGATAGGTAGAGCTCTGAGTTCGAGGCCAGCCGGGTCTACATAGTGAGTTCCAGACCAGCTGAGAATACAGGTGACCCTGTCTCAAAAAGACCAGGAAAAAAAAAAAAAAATGCCCATGTTTCTAATCCCTGCTTGAGGGAATGGAGAACTGAGGATCCTTAGAACTCATTGGCCAGGCAATCTAGCTGAATTGGTGAGTTCCTGGTTCAGTGAGAGACCTTATGTCAAAAGGTAAGGTGGAAACTGATTGACGAAGACACCCAGCATTGACCTCTGGCCAATGCACGCATATGTACACCCATACATACATATATATCATTCACATATTCATATTTATATATCTCAATCTCATTCACACGCCAAATAATAAAAAATCATCACCTGGGGGTAAGCACTGGTTGCAGAGATTCAGTTCCCAGCACCCACTTGGCAGCTAACAACCATCCATAACTCCAGTTCCAGGGGATACAATGCCCTCTTCTGGTCTTTGTGGGCATTGTATGACATGGGTGCAGTTACATACATGCAGGCACTCATAGGTATAAAAAATAAATTAAAAAATTAAAAACATCATCTGGTAGGTTATCATCCTAAACTAAGTTTACTAAGACCTGAAAGGCTCCTATGGTGACAGTTCTAAGGCAAGAGCACTAGTTTGGCTCAGGTTTATGGTAATTTGTACGCTTTCTTTTTCTTCCAATGCATATTTTCATTTAGGGAATCTTGATTTATCCTCTCTATTATGTAGATGAAAACAGAAGCCCAGTCCAAGAGAGCAATTTGTCACAGGTCACATGGTGAGTTACAGTAGACCTGGACTTTGGTTCTAACATTAAAATGATAGAATTTTTTTATGAAGATAGGGCGTATTTCACCTGATTAATTGAAACTGCTTGCCAGAAACTCCCTCAGAATTCACTTTGTCCCTTGTTTGTATCACCTGATCTCATTTTCCCTCTGGATTGCTTGGTTAGGGGCATTGAGCTTCCCTTTCCCCGGTTTGCTGTTTCTGTATCTTGCATTCTTCTGAAGTCAGCCCAGCAGAAATTCCACCTTGCCATGATTTTTCTTTCTCTTGAGACTGTGATGCCACTACAGACTGAAGACGATAGGAGCCAGCTGGATAAACCCATGGAAATCCCTAAAGAACTCTGGATGATGGTTGATCACCTGTACCGAAATGCTATCCAGCAGGTAGGTTAAACAGTCGGAGATCCTCACCAGGCTGCCTTGAGAAAGAGAGCTTTTGCACATGGAAAGCTTTACCTTAAAGAACCTCTTGAGATTGTTCTGCCCTCAGGAGTGAATACATGTTTCAAACCCTGTGACCCTGGCAGTGACATGCTGTACTGGATCTTGATTGCCTGAAGGGACACAGCCTTCCCAGCACACAGCTTCTTTCCCCTTGCCTCCTTTTGGGTCCCAGTGGGAGGACCTTCTGAATGCCCTCTGGAATGTCCTCCCAAAGTCTTTTGCCAGAACTCTCATCAGTTTCTGGGAATGGGAGTGGCTATCTTGTTGACTATCCTAGCAAAGATGGAGGACCAGATGGAGCCCTTAGGCCATGAATCTGGAAGGCTCATTTCTAGTGTTTTGGGCAAGCTTCATAGAATTCGTTGGTCAGTTTGACTGATCTGATTATAGGCCCCATGCAGATGTATACAAATTATAATCCTACAGCAACACATACCCCCGCCCCCCGCCCAGTGCTGGGGCTCAAACTCAGGCCTCATACATGTCAGGCAATTTCTCTCCCCTGAGCTGCACTCCTCTCCTGGCAACATACATCCTTAGGAGATCTACTCCGTTTGTTTTGTTTTGTTTTGTTTTGTTTTGTTTTGTTTTGTTTTGTTGTTTTTTTGTTTTGAGACAGGGTCTCCCTGTAGCCCCAGCTGGTCTGGAACTCATTATGTCGACAGGCTGGCCTCGCTCAGAGAGATCTGCCTGCCCCTGCCTCCCAAGTGCTGGGATTAAAGGCTTTTTTGGTTTGTTTTTCCTAGATAGGGCCTTACATAGCTCAGTCAGGCCTTGAACTTGCTCTGTAGGTGAGGATGACCTTGAACTTTTGATTCTGCCTCCAGCTTTCAAATGTGAAGATTATAACTGTGTACCAGTACAACTGGTTTATGCAGTGCTAGGGACTGAACTCAGGGTTTTGTGTAAGCTAGGTAAGCATTATACCAACTGAGCTATATCCCTAGCTCTACACCCCCCTTCAACCCCATCTTTTTGAGACAAGGTCTCCCTGTAACCACAGGTGGCGTCACAGAGACCCTCCTGCCTCTGCCTCCCAAGTGCTGGGATTAAAGGGGTGTACCACCACCACACCTGAGTCTGTTTGGAGATAGCATCTCAATGTATATCCATGCTAGCCTCAAATTCACTAGCCCAAACTAGCTTCTTGCCTCAGCCTCTGGGATTATAAGTGTATACCATTAATGCCCAGCTGTTTGCACATCCCCTCACATTAGTGTTGCAAGCTCTGTTCTAAGCATTTGTCCCACTGCCTCATTTAATACTACAGTAACTTTTGAAGAAGGCAGATACCCTGAAAGGTAAATAATTTGTGCAGTGTTACCAAGTTGATAATCGAGCAATCATGGGAATGTGGCTATAAAATTCTTTCCTTCCTTCCTTTTTATAATTCCTAATTTTAAAAATTTATATAATTTTAAATTTATATAATTTACAATTT